TGTAACTTTCGCTGGCCACTGCCCAGAGGGCCCAGGTAACCTCGCCAAGTTACACGAACATATGTCATTGATAGACACTTGTAGGAACACTCTACCAAAAGATCAGTTCTATGGAGCATGACCCTTCTTAATACCTACAAAAATGTCCTCATTTCATGGAACCTAAGATTCGTCAACATTTTCACAACAGCCTGATACTGGCCCATACCATGAGACAGATGAATCCAGTCGACGCAATCGGATCCAGTTACTTTAACGTCAATTTTAACATTATCCTTAAGCGGTAACGTTCCCACCTCATGACTCAAGGTACGCGGGTTCAAACCCGGCGGAGGTCGTGGAATTTTTAAGGGAGGAAAAATTCAGGGAACAAGTCCTCCGGGAGGGACTTTAAGCCGTGGGTCCCGTGTCGTAGCTTTACGGCACGTAAAAGAACCTCATGCCTCAAGGAGGCCTCTGAGCCAAATTATTAAGGACATTTCCCGCCCAACAATAGTCTCTAACGTCTCTGGTAGATGGGGGAAGCATCTAGATACCGCTGGGCCAGTAGAGGCCGAACTCGCTGGCTGAGTCGGGACTAATGACACGCACCAGTATCGGTAGGGTATAGAGACTGGTAGAATATCACTGGGGGACGTACAATAGACCACTGGTCGCGGTGCATGGGGAAACCCACCCCCTCCAATAATAATTCAATTCATGTTTATTTACGTGCAATAACTTAACAGCACAGTGGCTAATTACAAAGTTAGCACGAGTATATAAGGTACAGAAAATAATTAAAACAAAATACAAATATGACAAATAAATCTGTGAACATAAATCTAAAGAAGACTGAAATATATACATACATTTATGAAATATTACGAATGTTGCTAATACTGTTAGTAACTAAATACTAAGATAAGACAGCTGGGAGTGATAGCATAAAATTAATAACAAGTCAATAAATTAAAACCAATTACATAAGAAAATTAAAGTTAGCCGAGGTATACACATTTGTAGTGAATGAAAACACTAATCAAGTAACACCGTAAAAGGTTTGGTACATGCTTGTAAAATATGATATATAATAATAATAATAATAATAATAATAATAATAATATCCTTCTATTTATGTCTTGATCTCCTAAGTGGTCTCTTCTTTCCATCTGTGATTTCTAGTATCTCTTATGAGTATGACATAATCTGGCCAGTTAATCTGTCTTGATTAAATCATGCCAAAAATTAAGTTGGTGAAGAATATTGTGGAACCTGAAATCCGGAAAATGGGAGGCTTCGATGTGCACTTGTTTGTCGCACTATACAAGAAGACGAACGTTACGAAACTCACCCCATAAGATCCTGTCTCTGAAGTTCAAATACACCCAGTTCTCCTCAACAAGTACTCTCTTCTCACACTATTTAATGTGAAAGCAGACGTAGACCAAGACTACAGAACTACAGCTAACGGTTGAAAGGATCAAGTCCGAACTCCACCGCCATGTGTTTCAGAATTTCAAGGGAGCTGTGACGCACTTGGAAACGCGTACTTCCAAGCAAATGGGCATGCAGTTCGACATCCTTGTAAAAGTAGACATGTCCCGCCAGAACCTGCTGCTGCTGATCCGGTCGCTCCGTCAGAGCGCGTCCCTGGGCGGCGTCACTCTCCTCGCCGACAACAGCGTCAGCATTAAGGGTAAATCTACAGAATGTTGTAGCAATCACTAATGGAAGGCGTTACTCTGAAACAGTTACTGAGTTCTGGGCAATATCCATTGTCCTGTTTTTTATATGTATTTAAAACACAATGATTCGGAGAATGGAATATCTCTCAGCCTCCAAGGCGGAGACAGAATCCAGACTCCGAGACGTCGTGTATTAAATGGAAAAAACAGGACGATGTGTATTGTCCAAAACTCAGTAACTACATTAATACAGCATCGTCACAAACTCTTAGATATTAGTTACACTGTAAATTCAACTGTTGCAATGTTATTAAAAAAATTTTGACTATGGGTTCGATTTCGCTCTGTACACTTTATATTCCTCAAAATTCCTAAGATTTTTCATATGAATGGGATTAGATCTTCGTTATCACTTACTCCTATTCAAAACTTTTACATATTTTCTATCTAGTGTGAAAAGCACACACACAAGCTCTCTGAAATAATGATAAAAAGAACTATTTAAAAAAAGAGAATACCACTCAACCTTCATAAAATAATTTGAGTAAAAACATGAAAAAATGTAAACGGTACTACACAATATATTTGAGATATTAGAATATTCTCTAGAACTGTGCAAACAGCACTGTGACTACAATGTGTGGACTAAAACGAAAAAAAAAAAATCTAGACGGACTGCCCAAAACCGAAAATATAATTGCATCTTAGTATATTTAAAATCATAGTGCGAGTTCAGAGGGGTATGGCACTAACTTTATGCTTTTTATTAATGTTACGCCTAAGATTTCAGAGATACATGAGTTACTGTTGCAATAAATAACAGCGCAAAAGGTGGTAGATTATACAACTATTTCGATCACCTACGAACATAGTCATAAAAAACTAACTTTCTGAAAAGGACCGCGCCATAGCTCAAGCGGTTAGTAGCTGGCTTCCCACGGCGGCGGCCCGGGTTCGATCTCGGATCTGGTCAAGTGGGATTTGTGGTGGACAAAGTGGCGCTGGGGCAGGTGTTCTCCGAGTACTTCGGTTTCCCCTACCAATCTTCATTCCACAAATTGCTCCACAATCACCCTCACCTATCATCTGGGGCTGGTACAATAGGCCAGAAGTGGTCGCAGTACAAGGGACTTAGTCCCACCACACTAACAATAAAAAAACTTTCTGAAAATCTGAATACGTCAAAAAGATGACATTTATTTATTGAATTAAGCAGTGAGAAGCGATATATCTTCGAAAAGACAAACCAAATTTCTTCCATATTAAGAAGCTGGTTACGGGGGTAGACATGACCTTCAGAACAAGTTGGAAGCTCCAGATCAGTAGAAAAACTGAAGCTAGAAATAGCAAATTACAAATGAAATTATAATGAAAGTCCGGGAATACGTTCCTATAAGCAAGGAACGACAATTCTGGCACTGAAAATGTGTTCATGAAGAAAGCACCCTGGAAACAAACAGATGGCATCGACTTGCATCTATCCCCCATTCCCATCCCTGCAATGCATAATCTCATTTACAAAATGGAGAAGTTAGTTTTCAAACCATACTGAAGTTTGGTATGTGGCCAGCTCCAATACCAAATTCCCCATGGACAGAGAAATGAGCATGTATTTGTGATTGCAGATCCATGGTTCCCAAGACACGCATGTGAACTGGACAACTGTAACCATCTGATGACCAAGTACGAACCCGAGTTGGACATGAACCATCCTGGATTCGCCGACAAGACCTACCGCGAGCGTCGCAGAGAAATTGCAGAGATTGCCTTTTCCTACAAGTTGTAAGTCATTCCTAGCTCTTTTCGTTCGTTCATCAGCCTTTTGTTGGGCTCTGGCCTCCTCTTCAGTTCCGTGATCTTTACACAGTCAGTAGGACCCTTGAACGAGTGATCAGCCCATCGCAAGGCCGCTACCTACACACATAACGACACAAACACAGAATATACACAAGCACAGACATCGATACATTGAGTGGGATTCGAACCCACGATCCCAGCGTCAAAGCGAGCGAAGACAGTTCATGCCTTAGAGCGCACGGCCACTGTGATCGACTATTCTTAGCTTTTACAAAGTAGAATTAGCAGTGGATTTTTGTCCATTGGCCAATAATATTAAAGTCTAGGCAGTTGCGCTGCCTAATTTCTTGGTGGTTTGTGACAAGAGTCGATTCATTATGGGCCTTCTACGAGTAATATTATGATGGAAACTATCCATTGTCTGAGATATCTGTTGGGGATATGGACCCAGGTGTGCAGCATTTCTGCTTCGTATTCGGGATGACCCGGGCTCAGATTTCGAGATACTTGAAAATGCGTAAAACCACACATTTTCTGTGAGCGAAAAACTAAAGAGACGTTTCATGGGAACCATACTATAAGCTGCATGGAAAATGTAAGCTTTTATATCGTATTCCCTGTGCTCTACGATAACCAAACGGACAACAACACCTTGCAGATGCCCAAAGGTATGGAAGCCATATGTAAGTGTTAAAACAAATTCAGAATGGCAGCGAAACCGTACAAAAGGTCAGATATATAAAGTTTACCGCCAAACGGCAGTGAATTCAAAAGGCTTCATACAAGCTGTGCAGGGTCTTTCCGCTGATATAACTTGTTTCTCCTGACATAAACACACACTCTATCACAACCATACTGTTTCCTTTTAATTTATCACACTGTCAGGACTTCAGAATGTACGGCGTTCAATGGTAGGGTGGTCAGTGAATAATGAATTGGAAAGGAGGTGGAAGTAATCCGTTGTGGCCTATTTGAACTGCTATCCCAGCACTTGAATGGAAGGACTGAGGAAAACCATGAAAAGCCTAAGCTGGTATAGTCGGTCTGCAGGCGAGTTTTGAACTCAGAACTTCCCAATACGAAGGTGTGCTACAGACTTAGCCGCTGCCTTCTGTATTACTGTCATTGCCATCACAACAGTAGCAATAGTAGGCTCAGCATGCAAAGCTCAGGTGTGTCGGTTTCAGTAGTCTCAATACTGTGTACGTGAGTGTAGCATTATTAATGTATTCGGGAGGCAACGTTCTAGTCTTGACCGAATTACTGGATAACTTTTATCAAATATCTGACTTCATACTAAATTTCAGACCCTGCTTGAGTTCGATACCCGGCGAGGCAGTCATTTCTGTCTTTATCACCGCTTACAGGTCCACCCAGCCTCCCACCCAATGGGAACAAGGCCTCTTTTCTTGAGCGATCTTTACGGTATGCGTCTTGTTTTGTGTCATGGTGACAAAAATGGGGCCGTTTACACAACAGAAATATCTATGAATGTAAACAAAGGCAAATCGATACTACTGTATCACCTTTCGTTTATTGGGTAAAGGTTTTCTGCTACATGTTTCGACCCTCAAGAGGTCGTCATCAGAAATACTTACAAGAATTCAGTCTTAGTTCTTGCACTGTATTTTAATATGGATCCATATTGTTAAAATTTGTTTTATTTTTGATAGCGAAAAATATCTTATCGTTAAATATATCTAATAAATATACATTAAAATACTCGAATAATATAGTTTTAACTTTTTTAAATATTAAGACATAACTTTTATATAGTCCGGAATTTAATGTTACATAGTTATTAATGTAATTTTGTCCTCGAAGATTAAAATTAAAGATTATTTTTAATCAGAATTTTTTAATTAACCACTAAAGATGGGTTAGCGATACAGAGTTCATTCTAAGATAAGCTTAACGTCAGGAGTAGTTATGGTGGCCAGCACGTTTTGTCGTGGTTATAAGTTGATAAGTTGATAGGTCGCAGGTCCGCAACGCGAGAGGGGCCCTCCTCAGAATCCCCGTAACGTTGATTTACTTCTGAAAGATGGGTTATTCAGTATTTATAATGTGTTTTATATATAATTTAGGAGTTGCGTGATGTATAATTGGTATTGTAAAATAGTCACATTTTGTCGGGTAAAGGTGGCTCGCTGGTTTTTCTGTCTTGTGTCATTGTCATCTAGTTTTGATCTTGTAAGTAGAGAGTTTACTGTAGCTGTAGTATATATGTGATTCCCTATATTATGTTCCTTGAGGTTCAAGCGGCGGGATCTTGGAGCTCACAACTCACTTCCTTCTTCCTAGAGACAATTAAGTATATTCTAATCTTTGCCTTTCTATAGAGGAGGCGTGAATATAAAGATTTTTGTGTATAATTCTTGGAATTGAGGCACCTTGCTAAGATTTGAGGCACCTGTAAATAGAATTACGAGATTGACTCTCAGTTATCTGTTGGTGGAAGCTGAACTAATAGCCTCCTGACTCTTTGCAGTGGCGATACCATTCCGCGCATAGAATACACCTCTGAGGAGATCTCCACGTGGACAGCTGTGTTCAACACTGTCCTGGAGCTGATGCCTAAGCACGCCTGCGCAGAGTACCGCCGCGTATTCAAGATATTGCAAGATGACGGTATCTTCAGACCTGACCGGATCCCACAGCTCGAGGAGATGTCCGCTTTCATGAAGAGTAAGTAACGGCCGACATGTTCTTCTCCTTTCGCTACGTCATATTGAAAAAGCAGTCACAGAAAGTCAATGAGTGGTCTTAGGCTTTCTGATTCAACAGGGGGAAGAAAATTCCTTGTCTTAAACAATGGCATGCTATGAAGTATCATACTAGAACTTGGAAGGGCCTAAGCAACGGAAAGTGGATGAGATCTGGAAATTGAAGTGACAGGGCTCCTTACCTGTCTCTACCAGTCATGTGATTGTTTCCTTTAAGAGACAAAATGATTATTATAAAGTGGACATTGTATTAATTAGTTCACGATACAAAGTGTTCAGACCAAATGTCACCCTCATACGTTTGATATGTCGTGCCTTGAATCCTATGAATTTATACATTGTTACGAGTATTTGCGTTTTCGCTCATAAAAAAGGTATATTGCATCAAAACTAATATTAAGATGAAAATTAAAATTAAAATTGGAGTAAAAGTTATCAAAATCTCTGTCCAGTTCAACAATATAGTATTTGACGTAAACGTGGCTGCGTTTTTATCTGTTTTTATTGGAGATATTTTTCTTGTCGTCGCTTGTTATCTTGTCTTTGGTGTTGCCTGTATTTTCATGTTCATTTTAAAGTAAGACCTTCGCTTTGTATCAAGAATGAAAATGCAAATAACTTTACAAAACTCATGGGTCAGAATATAAAACACATGTAAACAGCCGAGGATGACCAAAACTAATGAATTCAATGTCCAGTGTCTTTGTAATTAATTAATAAATTATTCACTCACTCACTCACTCACTCATGGAGCCGAGCCCTTCTTGAGAAGCCGCCAATTGTGCAGCTACTCAAGAATTTCTCACCATTTTATGGAACCCGAAGGTTCATTACCGTGCTCACAAGGGCCTCCCACTGGTCCCTATCCTGAGCCAGATCGATCCAGTCCACACTATTCCATTCTACCTTCTTAAGATTCATTTTAATGTTATCCAACCACTTACATCTTGGTCTTCCTAGCGATTTTTTCCTTCTGGTTTTCCCACCAATATGCTACATGCATTCCTTTTCTCCTTCATTCGTGCTACATGCCCTGCCCATCTTATCCTCTTTGACTTGATCATTCTAATTATATTTCGCGAAGAGTAAAAGTTATAAAGCTCCTCATTATGTAGTTTTCTCCAATCTCCTGTCACTTCATCCCTCTTCGGTCCAAATATTCTCCTCAGCATCCTGTTCTCGAACACCCTCAGTCTATGTTCCTCCTTGTTTCACATCTATATAGAACCACAGGCAAAATTATAGTTTTATATACACTAATTTGCATGTTTCTATACAACAGACGAGAAGACAAAAGGTTCTGGACTGAAAGGTAGCAAGCATTAAATTAAAAAATTATTTTACAATCGAAAAGCATTAGTGGCTTGTTGTGTAGAGTGATGGATGAGTGTAACCAAGATGTACAAAAGTAAGTGAAGACGGTGAACTTGACAGGTTTTATTCTTCATCTGGTGTCGTAAGTAGAGTCAGTTTCTGAAGCATTATGGTCTAACTAGAAAGTGAGACGATGGAAAATGCGCACACATGTGTCAGTTAACACTGAATGAATCTCATTTTTCAGTAGTCGGTCTACAATTGCAATTTAAAACCGACTGTTGTGCTATTCATTTTCAGAGCATACTGGCTTCACTCTCCGCCCGGCCGCTGGTCTGCTCACTGCCCGCGACTTCTTGGCCAGTCTCGCTTTCCGTGTGTTCCAGAGCACGCAGTATGTGAGACACCACACCTCGCCATACCACACACCGGAGCCGTAAGTGTCTGCCAGGAACAAGTTTACTTGAATCGGACAACCTTTGGCGTAAACGCAGTTCACAGCGGAAGAGATAATGAATACTTGTTTCAGGCTCATTACTTGGAGCAGGCACTAATTAAATGTAACAAGATGTTACAACTTATACATGATACAATGCGACATGGACTGTAAAATGGTTATCAAATAGCACACTTTCACTTGCGAATGTGATCATAAAGCCAAATCTCCGTATTCTTCTCCAGTCGAGGTAGCTAGGCCGATATTCTGACGGAGGGATACAAAAGGGAATCTCATGTGTTCATGTCTTCTGTCATTTTCGTGAATCGTCTGTATCATTCTGTTATTATATCCTTCTTCTTAACCGACCATATTTTCATGCTGAATGCCTACAACATCATTCAGTATTCTTCATCTCATCCTCATATTTATTGGCTACGTCTGTCTGTGTAGAGCACAATAATTTTAACTTTCTTCCTCTTCTAGGTTCATTCCTTCCCTTGTGCCCACGGAGCCCTAGTCAAACAAAGTTCCGCCTTACTAGCGAGATCTCGATCCGCAAACCCAAACTGGCCCCACGACAATGCACACCTGCTGAGGGCCCTGCTTCGATACTTCAAAGTCATGACAGATCCCACTGGCATTCCGAGTGTAAAGAACAGGGGGAAATTCAAATATCCCCTATTATGAAGCCGTGATTTTAAGCATGGCTACCAGCTTCTCTTCTGACCTTCCATTGTCTCAACGAGGGTGCCTCATCTTCCGTTGGTTGCGCAGATCTTTTTAGTCTTGATTTTATAGTTACTAAATATTATTTTCAACATACTTCTCTTATTCATACACCAGTGGGAAATTCAAACATACTTTCATAAGACTTTTCTTCTGTAGGGTTTCCTGCACAACGCATAAGTTGCCATGTTTCTTGCAGTAAATGAGTCTACAATGAAAACTTAAGGGTTCCTGTGTGCGGTTCCTTGACCTACAAGCTCTAACACAGTAACGTGATCTAGCCAGCATATCTTCAGGAAACACATCTCCATCCCTCATTACTCACTACACCTTCATCGGCCCACAGTTGGTGATGGCGCCAATGGTGGTATGGCCGTCCTAACCAAGGGCTACATTTTCTCTGCTTCACCCAACAACCAACCTCTATGACCTATCATAATCCCCTTTCCAAATTACCCACTCTTTCATTTACAATTTGCAACATTTATCTTCCATCGACTTGGCTAACTGATTTCGCATCTGCCTCCACTGTTTATTCTTCTTGAGTACTTAACACAATCATCCCAGAACAGAGACATTCCATTGTCAAAGATTAAAATGTAGCGGGAACAAGAAATGGAGAATGTAAGCACCGCCCTCTAGTCACAGGGGAAAGGATTAGTCAGCATGTAAAAGGCTATTATAGTCCTTAGCAGTCCTGGATATCCATTAATGCGAGAGGAAGGAAGAGGTAACCTAGCAACGTATTCAACCCACTCAATTATCGCTGCCCCTCCCCCAGCTGCAGCCGCGGGCAGGAAATGTATCAAGAAGAAAAGAAGGAAAAGTAATCGCGGAAGTTCAGAGGGATTTCAAACGAAACAAGGGAAGTGGGACACTCGCCCCTGCAGAAGTTCAATAAATTGACTCTTGGATTTCATCTTAAGTTATTAAAGGATAAACTTCTAATTGATTATTAAGGAATGAATTAAGTTGACTGTAAGGTTCGCAAGTTACATTATTCACCGCGATATTAGTAGTGTTTCACAGTTCCGTTGCGGAACTATCTATAGAGAACTGCTGTAGAACACGTAGATCTACCCAATTTCGTGTCGAATTTAGGCTGCATACCAGGATGAATATATGCCACGAAATTGGGTAGGTTTGGCTTATATACGGGAAGTAAGAGACCTAACAGGTATTTTAAGAAAACAGACTGTAGAACAGCGAGCAGAATGCTGCGACAATAAAAAAAATAGAGGTGAAAAAACAAATATATCAAGGAGCAATAACTAGGTGTAGCAAAAGTGTTAATCGAGGCAACATAAGGCAGTACAGAGGAGTCAGTTTGTCGTTGATATACGACACATAATGTAGGATACAAGTTATCAGAAAGTGGAATGAACTGAAATATCAGTTGGCAAGGAATTGTGGACTTTATCTGATAATCCAGTGCACATCTTTCCTAATTTTGAATAATTTATACTCTGAATATGATAAACCATTTGGATGTACTAACATAAAAATAACGAAACACATTCTGTAGCATAAAGAAATATGTTGAGGCAGAAGACAATATTGGGGAATATGCGAAGTTTGAGCAAGCCTGACCTAATCCTTCCAGCCGCAATATGGTCCTGGGGTCTACTCGGCTAGCATCAGAATTGAGTACCAACAATCTTCCTGGGGGTAAAGGGCGGCCGGCGCGTAAGGCTGACAACCTTAGCGCCATCTGTGAGCCGATTTTCTTGAAAATGTGGGAACCTCGACGTCTCACAACCCTATAGGCCTCCACGGCCTCTTATACGGATAGCTTTACTTATTAACATAATGATACAGTTTTGTGCCAAAATGGCATTAGTCCTATCACGTTCCCAATTTCAAACGATGGACAAAGCCAATGCAACTGCTATAATGTACGGATCCCGTAGCGTTATTCCGTCCTGTCTGGTAATGAGTTTCCCAGTTCAGTTATCCCTCTGTTCTGCACGTAGGCACAGATTCTGAACAAAACTCAGAAGTCGCAGTTTTTTCATAACGTATAAGTGATTCGTATGACCTGGCCAGACAAACTCTAGGGCCTCTCGAGCCTTCCGTTGAGTGGATACCGGTGGGTCTTGAGCGCTGGACGCTGTAAGTTCGAAGCCAGGCTCGGCACGAAACCTAAAATTATATAAATTTTCAAACATTCATGGAAAGATGCAATGAGGTCCTTCTACAAGGTAGTGCTGCCAGAAGATACAACAGCAGAGCGGAAACCCAATCATCTTTCCAACTCTTTCTCACAATTCGATTATCTACTATCAGTGTGCTATAGCATAGCAATGATGAGACTGCTAATGACATCACATCATCACTAAAAGCTTCAGTTAATTGGTATGACATGAAGTGGTCCCGCCCTCCCGCCGCCCTGTCCTAGCAACAGGGCTACCAGCCGGCCCTAGCCATGCGTGAAGCAGTCGCCATGAGTAGGAACAGCTCAGGCACGTCGTAAGTTCCAGCAGGGTTCACACCTCATTCTGAAGTCGTCGAGTTCGAATTCCGAGCGCGTGCTTCTCTACTTTAAGAAAGGCTTTTATCACACGAACTCTAGCCCAAATAACGACGCTTACGACTTATATTAGGGAGGTGCCCATTTCGAATTTCGGCCCCGACACCAACTATTATAACGGAGGTTTTGTGGTTTTCCTCAGCCCCTCCATAAAATGCCGGATATTATCTCAAATCATGGTACAATCCATTCTTTCCACATTCTTTCCATTTCATTATTGGCTGAATACCCTACCATCCAGCACTACGCAGTCAGAGCTGCTGACCTAAAATACGAGTAAATCATTAATAAATTAAGGTTTTGTCTTGGTTATCCTCAGTCTGTCTAGGCAGACGGCAGTATAGTTTCTTAAAGTATGCCACCCTTGTGAACCAAGCGGTTAGCGTACGAGCCTAATATTCAGAAAGTTCCGGGTTCGATCTCATCCGTTACCAGCACTCTTAAACGGGAAATAAAAAATGTATGTTAGTATAATGATAATCACCTAAATACAGCAGCAAAATGAACTCCGAAACCTGGTGTATAATCAGTCAAACTGACTTATACCTCAAAGAATGGCAAATTTTCAACATCATCTCTACATATAAAACCATGAAGCTTACTCGGACCTCTTGATTATGTCTCTTTTACGTACGTACTTCCTTAATTTGCAAACGAAAGTCATGTACACCTCCACGATATGTGACAAACACTTGAACTTAAGGATAACAAAAAATATGCGTTACGAAATGTTCCCTTGTTGCAGAGACTGTATCCACGAGATGCTGGGTCACATGCCCCTACTGGCTGACCCCAGTTTCGCGCAGTTCTCCCAGGAAATCGGTCTCGCTTCCCTCGGAGCATCGGACGCAGAAATCGAGAAGCTCTCAACGGTAAGTTTCTGTTTCAATACCACGTGACATTTACATGATTATATAGGTATGTACGTAATCATTCTGTGCTGCAACCTCCGACCTCTGACCTGCTGTTTGTGAACACTTCACCTCTTGATACAGTTTCAAACTGGCCAGTGTTTTTCTTTCATGTTCCTATCTCCTCTTCAAAATATTTTTAAACTGGTATTATTTCCCCGTAATACATTTCGTTAACTACCTGCCGAATAAAACAAAAGTCCACGCAACACAGAAACTAATAGTTGCGCAGACAGCCAAGAAATTATCCTCCTTTTATGAAACCCAAAAATGCATTCCTGTGTTCACAACTGCCAGATGCTGAGTCCTCTACTGAACCAGTTGTCTCCATACGTCCTGTGTAAGACATATCTCCATGTTGTCATCCCTTCCAAGCCTAAATATTCGAAACTGCCTCTTCCTCATATCTTCCTGGGGGTAAAGGGCTGCCGGCGCATAAAACTGACAACCTTACCGCCATTTATGAGCCGATTGTTTAGAAAGTGTGGAGGCCTCGACGTCTCACAAACCTGTGGACCTCCACGACCTGTTACAGGGCTAGCTTTACACTTTCTTATGTTTCCCGAAAAAAATTTTATTTAATTTCTCATCTTTACCTTGCGTGATACATGTTTCGGCCATCTTATCATCCATGATTTGGTCAACCTAATAATGTCCGGTGAAGAGCGGAAATTATGAAACTCATCATTATGTAATTTTCTCCGGTCTCCTTCTTATAGCTCGGTTAAGGCCGCGCCATAGATCTGGCGGTTAGTCGCCGGCTTACCACCACAGCGGTCCGGGTTCGACCCCGATTTAAGTCATGTGAGATTTGTGGTGGACAACGTGGCACTGAGGCAGGTTTTCTCCGAATACCTCTGTTTCCCCTGCCAGTATTCATTCCACCATTTGCTCCGCGATCACCCTCACCTAACATCCGTGGCTAGTGCAGTAGGCCAGTAGTGGCCGCAGTACCAAGTGCACTCAGTCTCATCCCATGAGAAGAATATAAAAAAGCTCGATTACAATATGATGGCACATGTGCACATGTCCGTGTATGGGCGGAACGGATGAGTCCATATTCTCTTACAGAAGCTGTGAGAGCTAGCCAGTTCAGTCCCCTGCTGGTAGCTAGTTTCTGTGTTGGAGTGTCTTGTATAGGCTTACTCACTCTGCTATCCTCGTTCTCCTTCAATTCCCCTTCTTAGTACACGTTTGTGCCATCACATAGTAATCGAGCTATGTATCCTCTCTACAAGAAATTCTTCAACAATTTTCTCTCAAACACCCTCGATAAAAATTCTTCAGTTGGAGTAAGAAACCGGCATTCACACCTATATACAAATATGCAAAAGTAGTTCTGAATAATGTCTGACTAAACTTCAGATGAACAGAGAGCAGATGGGAAGATGCAGCTATTATGAACTGAAGTAAAAAACTTTCCATGGATTTAATCTTCTAGATATAACTGTCGTTCCTCAGTGCTTAACTCTGCCGCACTGAGAAGGCACTGGTAGCTGCCCTGATGCAGTTTTCCATTCCGTTAGGTCTACTGGTTCACGGTGGAATTCGGCTTGTGCAAGGAGGCCGGCCGGGTGAAGGCGTACGGAGCCGGTCTGCTGTCAAGTTACGGCGAGCTCCTTCACGCCATATCAGAGAAACCGGAGCATCGGCCCTTCGAGCCCGCCCTCACTGCAGTCCAACCTTATCAGGACCAGGAGTACCAACCTATCTACTATGTGGCGGAGAGCTTCGAGGACGCCAAAGACAAATTCAGGTAATATCACGAATCAGTCTTATGAACAACTGCGATAATGGCGAATTCCATGGGATCCAATTTTAAAATAAAATTTTGAACCATTCAGCTAAGTTTCTTAACTTGGGACTCTTTTGAATGATTAGACTGGTTGATTATTTCATGTATTATATAACGACAAATATTCAATTACATAGTTACATAGTGTTACTCTAGCACTTAGGGAGACTCATTTCTCCTGGGGTACATTAGGAGTGTACCCTTCTGTAGGTGTGACGTGACATCTCCCAGCATTGGTATGGCTCCACTCCGATGGCATGACTTGGGGTGGTCTGAAGGTTCGTAAGGATTGGGTGGCTGCAGCACGCAAAGATTGAAAGCTCTGCTACACTTTAAATTACTTAAGTCTTAAAACATGACGCAAACGATATTTGGTCAAAACGTCAGGGTACACAAAGAGGTTCCATGGTAAGCCCCAGATTTTGGGCGTTGATCAATGATTAACGTCACTGTTAACCCTCCAGGAAATTATAAATTCTCGCTCCTTGACGAATCCGAGTGATTTTCTTGGGGGGAGTGCGTTTACCGGTCTCCACGTCGCTTCGAGTTGCCACGATTCCTTTATTCATCAGGCTGAAGCTACAGAACGTGTGTGTACATATTTTCTGGTGTCTGACGGGTCTTAGTCTGGTTCACATTCTCATTATGGTGGTATTCTTGATAACTTTAGGGAAGGTGGCGACATGTTTCTGTTACCGACAATTTAATTTTATTCACCTTAAAAGCATGGTTTCACATAGGTTATATGATTCATTCTAGGTTCATTCAGTGATCTATCTTGAATGCGTTAGCTGTCCTCACAACATACGTAGCTTTTGTAGGTAATATAATATAATTTTAATTGTTTCTTGCATCCTGTTGTGTATTTAATTAATATTAGAGTCAATTTTACCGAAAGGAGGAAGGAAAAAGACCACTAGCAAGACATACACGTAGGTGGGAGGGTAATATTAAAATGGATCTCGGAGAAATTTTATGGAGTATTATGGATTGAATTCATCTAGCTCGAAATAGGGGCCAGAGACTGGCTCTTGTGAACACGGTAATGAACACTAGGTATTTATAAAATTTCGAGAAATTCTTGAGTAACTGAGAGACTGCTGGCTTCTCAAGAAGGACTAAGCTCTATGGAGTTAGTTGCTCCTATAAGTTATCTGCAAGGACTGAGGAAAACCACACAAAATAGCTAGATCAGTATAACCAAACTCCTGGCTGAGATTCAAGCACATATTTCCCAGATACGAAGTATGAATGCTAACTATCTGGCCAAGATGTTCGGAGACGATCAGAAACCTTCATCATAATTTATATATGGACAGCGCCTTCATTAACTTACTTCGTTCTAAAGTAGAAGTTAAGATCTTCATTACTGCAGCTCTAGGCTATCATGCACATCTGTCTCATTTCCGTAAATTATCATGTAAACCTGGTTCCACATTTCACCGTAGTGACCACCCTGATGGACGCTTGGCAATAGTACTCGTAGATCCTTATGGTAAATCCCCTTGTCGCTTGAGCAGCGAAAGCTTCAGCCTGTGCTTCTTGCATTAAATCGTAAACACAGAATCTACATTTCAAAACACAAATCTGAAACAGATCTAAAAACTGTCAGACACCGTCTAGTTCTTCGGCACAAAACAGTAGTGAAACTCTTTAACAAGTAAAGAGCCAAGTTTGCATTAGACCTATGAAATTCATGAAATTCGATCATTCCGAAACAATTCTGGGTTCCTTAAACATCATTAATACATGAATAAACAATATCAGATGTTTGTTACGTCACTGCTATTGGAATTCTAATTCTATAACCTCGGTCTTCAATACATATTGTGTGCATTAGAATAAGGCTATTTCATAGCACGTGTACTCTGTTTATCAGTGTCTTGAAAGTTAATTAATAATTTTTTTATTTATCGCATTGGTTTGACTGTTAAAACATAAAAGAGTCGGTAGATATTTTCAATACATTTAAATAAACGGTTTCCTCTCTCCACAGACGGTGGGTGGCTACAGGAATGTCCCGACCCTTCGAGGTGCGTTTCAACCCTCACACACAGCGCGTTGAAGTTCTGGACTCAGTTGAACGACTCGAGAACCTCATGTCGCAGCTGAATCTCGAGATCCTGCATCTCAATAACGCATACAACAAGCTTAAAAATTCAACGATGGCGTAAAACCGTGGTGTGACGTGACTATTTGTTTCACCCGCTGTTCAAGAACCTTCCTCCTACTCTCATCCCATGCCGAGACTAAATGGGTAATCACATGAGGGGAATGTGTTCACATGGACTTAACGACACATTTGTTTCGTTAAGTTCTAGAACTCAGTTGAAAACGCATGTAATTTGTCTCTACTCAAGCACCATGGTGATTTCCCAAAGATCTGCACACTGTTCAAATGGCTGTGGTGAAGATTGTCTATGTTATTGAGGTCCTTAACTTCAGCTACTTTCTATTACTTAGTCCAAATTTGACAGTGGTTGATGAATACTGCCTGCTATTTTAAAAAACAGTATATTGACAGTAATATTGGAGTCTTGAATTTGCATGAAATTTCGTGAAAGGCTAGTAACATTCTTCACTTGAGAAATTTCTGGTGCCTTCATGGCACTGTGTAAGTTATGCAACTCTGGCTGAGGTTTTCAGGTTACAGCATGATGTTTCAAGAAAGGCTCTCATACCTCCATGGCACCACATGTGTCATGCAACTCTGGCTCCTAGGTCGCCAAGTCAGCTGTTCATATGCCACATGCTGGTAATGCACCTGGAGGACTCATTATGGCACCACAGTCACGCGACTACAACTGTCCATGTGACATGATGGTAACACACCAGATGAACAGAGCTCTCTCATGGCTGCATGTATTCAGTGTGCTTGATGGGTATTTGAAACCCAAGTCGTCCTCCTTTCCATTTTCCTCAAAGCACTAATCATGTAAATAGTGTTCATCATCCTATAATTAGTATTATTATCTTTAATTGTATTGCTCCTTGTTGTACCTGTAGCACAGCTTTCTTGATAGTGGACACAGTGAGTGAACTTCCAGTGTTACAGAAAGTGATGCAAGTGGTCAGTTTTCCAGAGTTTATAAATTGGCACTACCAAATAAGAGCTTATTTTGTTGATTATAAACTGGGCAAAACCTTCCTAACATTCTGATCCGTATATCCTCAAACTTGCAGGATGTTTGGAAGCTAATTTATGGCACACCACATTTAAAACAAATACATTGGTTAATTATCCAGGAGGCTGTGTCTCATACATTGTTAATGAGATTCCTATTAGTGATGTATGTCCACAGGACAGTCGGTGTAACTGAAGAGAATGAATGCTTCTGCGCTCTATATGTCTTGTAATTAAATTAATTATATTTTACTTATAATATCTTCTTTTTTATTTCCATGACTGAATGAATGAATTATGACAGTAGACCTATACTTATTTCAGCAAAAATATATATTATTTTTGTATATTATATTTCTCATTTCCTACATGCACATGAGTAGTCCATGTCTGCAAGTTTACATACAAATCAGAAATATGTATATCAAACTACTGATATCAAGAAAATTGTAAAAGTGTCTCTTCTGAACAATTATGGCTTGTGATCCTAACATTATATTCTATGTTCTCAAAATATTATCACAAAATAAAATTTCTTTATTGTAATAAGCACAATCTTCAGAAAGATTATTTTATTTAAATTCGCATCTATGAAGATCTAATAACATATATTTTGTTCACATAAGAGTTCCTCAAATTTATTTCATGCACATATGATAGTGGGATATCTGCAAATTATTATTAATTTTTAGCCTGTAATTTGTAAGAGTATTATTATTCAATGATTATTAAGATATTTTTCCCACACAAAGCTAAGACATATGTTGCATAATAGCACAACAGAATTTTAAATACTATTAGCATAGAATGCTTGAGTGGTTATAAACTATCTCAACATCTATGCAAGGATTCTGGAACTTTTATGACAGGGAAGAAACAATATAAAGAAAAAACACAAAATGCATATAAAAATTTGTGTATAAAATACATGTATATTGTGGTTGTAGTTCCATGATATGTCCTGCATCTGTATTTCTTTGGCTGTCTTAATCTGAGTTGATGAGTTGATGGCTGGATGTATCCACCTTCACAAATAAATGGTTATCAATTGCACATTATGTTTTTTGTTTTGTCTGTACTGTATTCAAATTTCACTTCGATTGTCCAGAATACGTTTTGAAAACACAAAATATCTGATAGATTGTTGATCTGTTTAAATCTATACTGATGATCTCAAATAATTTTGTCTACATCTATATTATGAGGGAGAGTCAGTAAATAGGCCACAAATGAAAGTAAAACAGCTGTAATGGATGTAGTAGGTTTTCTATGTATATCACTAGGTAGCAGCACAGTCCAGCTTCATGAAAGTAGTAGACGTCCATATACATGTTCAGAGGCTGGTTTCTGTTGCGCTTGGAGAATGTGCTACCGAAGAGAAGCGTTTGGCTGTGCGTTTCTATTATGGGGGGGGGGACAGAATAAGAATTATATTCAGTAAGGAAAATTTCCTGTTTATGATGGGAAATATTTGTTGTGCAATGCAGTTCAAAACTGAGTCGAATACTTCTCTCAAAGACTTTTGAAAGTCGTTGACAGTGTAACCCTGTTGAGATTACGACAGGACCAACTGTGCAGTGGGTGGAAGAGTTGATTTGAGCTGACAGAGAGATAAGAGTAAACAGTGTAGCAACTGCACTATAGTGCTCCCACGGTTTAGCATACAGCGCAATGCATGATTGTTTGAAGTTTTAGAAAGTGTGAGCATGGTGGATGTCCAGAGAACTGAAGGGTCGAGAGAAAATGAATTGAATTAATCTGTCCTTGATACATCTGTTACAGTGTGCAGATGAAGGAGAAGATATGCTTAAAAGAATTGTTACTGGGCACGAATCATGGATGCATCACTACCATGCCAAAATAAAGCGTTCTTCAATGCAATTGAAACACCCAAGTTCACCTTCAACCAAAAAGTTTAACACTATGCTATCACCAGTTAAGGTTATGCTTACTATGTTTTGGGATTCTCAGGGGTTACTGTTAGCCCATTTTCGGAAACATGGTGAAGATGTGAATTCTGCATTGTACTGTGAAGTTCTGTTGAAGCTTTGGGATGAAATTCACAGAAAACATCCAGGTCAACTGGAAAGAGGGGTACTGCTTTATCATGACAGTGCCAGACCCCATATATCTGGAGCAACCCAGGAGAGAATTCAACAACTACAGTGGGAACTTCTTGAACATTCACCTTACAACCCAAACTTGGCCCCTACTGACTTCCATTTGTTTGATCAGCTAAAAAAAAAACACCTTGGTAGCAAACGTTTTACTAATGATGAAGAGGTTGAAATGGAAATGCAAAAGCTGTCGAGACAACAGTCAAAAGACTTCTATGCTGTGGGTTTCAATGCACTGGTAAAGCAATGGAACATGTGTATCAATGCTGATGAAGGATACGTTGAGAATTCAATGTTTTTTCCAGATTCACATATCACATGTTTTACGTTTGATATTCATTTGTGATCCATTTACTCAGTCCCCCTTGTATTCCAAGAATAAGCCCTTACTCTGCAAGAATTTGTGCAACATAGATCATGTTTGGCTGTATGCACTACACAGCTTCATCCTGGTAAGTTCACTGAATTTTGAGGTTCAGTGATGAGTATTTCTGCTTCACATTGACATTGAGCAAGGAGGCAACATATCTTGAGTTGTTCTGTCAGTCTCTCGAAACAAATATCGGGACTGTACACTAGAATAGGCCATCACCCCCCCCCACAATATTTCATTCCATAATTTGGAAATATTTTTATTATTCAATATTAATTAAGAGACTGTTGAAATAAATAAGTGTTCAAAACACCATGAATAAATCATTATCAACAGAACTCTGAACAAGGCAGGAATCAATCACTACAAATTTATATTGAGTACTATTGTCTGTAATTCTTCATATGTAGCTAATTGTTAAAGTAATGACCAGAGCTCATTTTTGTTGCTAACAGATCATCTCACAGCAAATTTTCAATGACTATTACAGTGAGAGAGAAGATGCTTTGGTGCCCTGACCATGAAACTTGTTTCTGTGCAGGCTGGTTACTGTGTGAGTTGGTTCTGTGTACAGGGATGCTAGAAAATATACCATACCAAGATTAACTATTAAAGTAAAATCTATTAGATTTCTAAAACACATAAGATGTAATGCATACATGTCCAAGTTTCATTAAAATCAAACAATTATTAGAAAAGTTATGCCTCATTAGGTAAAACCTAACAAAATAATGGTAAAATTTAAATACTACGAAAATTTTCCCACAACTCAGGTCAGACTAGGTATTTAAATGCGTCCATTATGAAGGGTTGAAACCAATATAGTTCCATTTACTCATATTGTTCGCGGTGGTTTAATTTTACTTAATTTTTTTTCCTCATCTTGATGACTACACATATCCTCATGCACTGAAATTTGTAGGACTTACTCTTTTCATCTCATATAATATTTCATTTCTTCACTGCCTAATAGTTCTATTCATTGCTTTAATTTGGTCAACATTTGAATATGACTACACATATCCTCATGCACTGAAATTTGTAGGACTTACTCTTTTCATCTCATATAATATTTCATTTCTTCACTGCCTAATAGTTCTATTCATTGCTTTAATTTGGTCAACATTTGAATATGCTCCTGTTGCCTGAAATAATAATTTTAGCTGATTCTGATATAATACAAAGTATACAAAAAACACAATTTTATCTTACAATCAATTTATTCTTTTTAATTTTTCCACATTTTATGGTTCAATTTTGAACTGACTATACTGTACAACACTCTATTTCAGATGAAATCTCAATGCTTTATTTCTTATCAAAATTTTCAAGGACAAAACCAACTGTTTTTCTGTTATTCATGTTACCACATAAGATACTGAACATGCACTTATAGAGCAGGTTAAACTGTATTATTAACTTCTATGAGGCTAAAGAAAAATTAGATTCTTGTGTATGAGGACAGTTGTTCCACAGATTATTAGATCTGATTATTTCAGTCCCTGCTAAAGATACTCGTAATATCAAGATGGTAATTTTGTAATAACAGATTTCAAAAGTTCAGATAAAACTTCTGGGGTCATTAAACTAGCAAGGAGTTGTAGGATTTGAGGTTAGCTGTAAATCCTAATCCCAGATCTGTTACTGAACTCTTAACATAATTCTGTAACTCATAAATAACTCAATTTTCATAATGTATGACTGAATCCTCAAACAATTATAAAAGTTTAACTCAGTTGATGCAAGGATATTACAATGCACACTTCAAGTCTCTCTCTTCAACAAGCTAGTATTTACTAAGCTCTCCAAAGAAACAATGCCTTAGTTTACTTCATTATTCAACGTTCTTAATCTGGTTATTGATGGAATGTTAAATTTGATCATATTTATAGTAAGCAAATACATTATAATATCATATATTAACATTGATTTCTTAAATAATAATAATAATAATAATAATAATAATAACAACAACAACAATAAAAGAGAGAACATGAATTCCTTATACAACATCCAAATTAAATTTAAATTTACATTGTCTACTGCATGAACTTCAGTTGCTTTCTATTCCACACACAACATTAATAATCTCATGTAAAATGATAAAAAGTTTCATAAAAATAAGGAAGAAATCAAACCATCCATCCCTCTTTTGAATACTCAATTATTTTTACTTCTTCAGTTTCTTGACACATCATTCTCAAAATAGTATCCATTTCTTTAGACATGGCTGTTTTCAACAAAATGCACAGTAGATTTGATTGAATAGATTAACTGGGATGAGGGCTGCAAGGTGTGTATGGGTTATTCAGGGACCCTAGTTGCAGTGCAACACATTCCATTCCTCCAAGATGCAACTGCAACCACCGCCACACTTCTCACATTCAACCCAGAGGAGATCTAAAAACTTGAACTGCATTTGAACATGAATATTTTGAACGTAACATTACAATAGTCATGCCATAATATTTAATGATATAAATGTGATATTTTTATATAAAAATTCACAGTGTTTCTACCCAACAAGCAGATTACTCATGCATGAAAACAAACTGAAGTTCTAATTTATACATGCTCATAAATCATATGAAATATCAAAAACAGAATTACGCTTAATTCTGAATATGAATCCCTTTAAGCAGTTTTTCCAGGTGCTCTTCATTCTAACAGTGTAATTTGACTCATGTCTTAACTTTTGTACACACAGTTTTCCTCAGGGATATCGTTCTGTAGTACAACTGTTTAAATGTTCCTGTGCTCTGACTCATAACTGTATGTTTTGCAGACCCTGTTACTCGCTCAAATCTGTGACAAGTCACTGCCCAACGTTCCACTAAATTTCCTAAAATTTACTATCCATAGCCTCTCCTCTGGGCTCACAAGCTAAGCATATATACTATTATAACCAGCACTCCTGTAGACTCAAAAATATCTCCTAACCATCTCTGATGTTTCTCAAGGTTTTCCTTCCCATTAACATTGTCTCTTAGCTAGCCAGAAATTACAAACCAACTGCTCCTAAAGCATTGACAAAACACAATATTGTTTTATCTCCTCCTCTACATATTCACGACATAACAATCATTCTCCTGGCCTTAAAAAGATAAACAAAATGACATGGAAGCAGACAAAAGGATTCCCATGGTACTAAATATGTTTGAAGAATGAAGGTGATCAGTCCATCTACTTGAGTAATGAGACAATGTTTATGCTAGCAAGCCTGCAACAGTATTAAATTACAAACTTTACCACTAAGGCAGTAAAAATGTAGGCTGAATTGACACTCTCCAAGCAGTTTTGTCAAAATTCATAACTGCATATTTTATGCCATTATGCATTTGATGAAATTTTTCAGTTCCAATAGCCAGGACCTCATCATGTAACCAGTTACATTTTGTGTAACTGAATCATGTTATAGCCGATCACAGTGTCCATGTAGTCTAAGGCATGAACTGTCTTCACTTGCATGCTCCTGGGTTTGAATCACACTCAGGGCATGGATGTCTGTGTGTGTTTATTCTGTGTTTAGGTAGCAGCCTTATGATGGGTCTGTGTATAGACCA